TCTGTGGCTTTACACCCAAGCCGACCCCTGTTCTTTAGCCGTTCCCTTCCTCTGGCAACTCTGTGCATGGGCACACTGGGAACAGGCTCCAGCTGTTCTTCTGCCTCACTGATGTCTGACTCCGAAGGCAGCTGATAATTGTCAGACGGCTCTAACCCCCTTCTCTGCCTCCGACACAGAGCCCTCATCAGAGCCTTCCCCAGACTCCAGGACTGGCCCATGTTCCTCCCCAACCTCCTCACTCTCCAAATCTGATGCCATCTCTGCTGGCCGCTGGTGGGCCACAGCAGCACCCAAAGCTTTGAATCCTTTCTGCCCATAACTCTATTTCCTGGCCCACCATTGTTCCAAGCCACCCCCAGAACCAGCCACACCCACCAACCCGCCCATCCCACAAGAGATTCCCCCCCCACACATACAACTTCTAAGCGAAGAAAGGGAAAGAGCAAAGGAGGCCTGGTAGATGGGTCTTCTCCTCCAGACCCCATCCGGGTCCGTTCCCACCTCCATCTGCAAACCTGGAAGGCCAGGCCTCCAGGGCCGCCGGCGATCATCCGGGCCCAACTCACCGAGTTCTGTGGGCTTCAACAGTTCATCCAAGATAGTGTAGAAGGGAAGCTTCACCAACCGGACTTCAGGCTTCACTGGTTTGACCGGCAACCGTCCGAGTCCGTTTAAATACTTTCCGTAGAGCGAGGGATAGTCTATGTTGGGGGTAGTAGAAAGACCAGTCCTGTTTACCGCGCTGTTGCGGTCGTAAGACGAATGGATGGGAAGGGTTTCGGAAGGAGGTCGGTGCTGTGTGGGGGGCGGGAGCGGCTGCTGCGGTTGCTGCTGCTGGGGGGTTTGTCCCGGTTCGGAGATCTTGGCGTATCGAGTCTCATAGATCTCTTTTATCTTCTTGAAGAGTTCCGGGCTACAGTCAAACTGGACCAGTTGCAAAGCCCGGGTGACCAGTTCGTGTTTGAGTCCGCTTTTGCTCCGGCCCACAAATCCTAACAACATCTGCAAGTCGGAAACCCGGAAGCTCATCACCATGTTCTGCGAACGAGATGGGAGAACAGACAAGACAGAACAAGCCTTGATATCAAAAAAAAATAATCCATCAGAGAAAGTTTGTTCTAGCCCAAGTTCTCTACGACCATTCAACAAATTCATCACCCCTGCAAAATTTTAGACAGATACAGAGAGAGAAGGATAGAGGGAGGGAGGGGGAGAGAGAAAAAAAAAGAGAGAGAGATGATAGATAGACAGACAGAGATGGATAGAGAGAGAGGGAGGGAGAGAAAGAGGGATAGAAAGAGCTGGATAGAGAGAGAGAAAGAGAGGGAGGGAGGGAGAAAGAGAGAGGAGAGGGAGGGTGAGAAAGAGAAATAGAGAGATGGATAGAGAGAGAGGGAGAGAGAAAGATGGATAGAGAGCGGGGGGAGAAAGAGAGGGAGGAAGAAAGAGAGATAGATGGATAGATAGATGGAGGGATGGATATATAGGGAGAGAGGGAGACAAAGAAATAGATGGATAGAGATGGATAGAGAGGGAGGGAAGGAGAGAAAGAGGGATAAAGAGAAGGAAGGAGAAAGAAAAAAAGAGAGAGATGGATAGATAGAGAGGGAGAGAGAGAGAAATGGAGAGAGGGGGAGGGAGAGGGAGAGAAAGAGAGAGGGAGGGATAGATATAGATAAGATAGATAGATAGATAGATAGATAGATAGATAGATAGATAGATAGATAGATAGATGATAGAATCCACATGAACACGTCATTCTAATTGAGACACTTGACAAATGACTCATATTTATGACCTTTGAAGGGTCTCGGAGTCAGGTGACCGACTGCCTTTTGCAACCTTCTGACCCGCCAAGTCGACGGGGGAGACACCTTCACTTCACAACCTTGTGAATAACCGAAGAGCCACAGGGATTCACTCAACCACAGTGGCAAGAAAATTCATACAATGAGCCAAAGATCACTTAACGATTGTTTCACCTAAATTTTGGGCTCAATGGTGTTCGTAAGTCGAGGACGTCCTGTGTTCTGGATAGACCTCAGAAAAATGTCCTAATTGGGGGAAAAAAGCTCTGGAGATTTTTAAGCAGAGACTGAAAATACTCTTATCGCCGTGATGGTGAACCTGCCTGGCACAGGTGGCACGCAGAGCCCTCTCTGTGGGCACACGAGCTGACATACCGCCTCAGCTCCACCACGCATGTGCGTGTGCCTCCCGCCTGCCAGCTGAATTTTTGGGATCGCGTGCATACGCGTGGGGGCGAAGAGGTCAAGCACATACGCGGGAGACAGGAGGAGCCCATTGTTAGTCCCAGGCGGCTGTAGGGCGCTCTACTAGGCCCAAAATGGAGCGAAGGGAGGCGTGCACAAATGCACGGGGGAGAGCAGAGCGCGGGGGGTTGTGCGCTCACAAGTGGGGGGAGAGCAGAGCGCAGAGGGTGTCACATGCGCATGAGCAGGAGTCAAGCTGCAGGTGTGTGCGTGTGCGTGTGTGTGTGTTGCGAGCGCTGTGCATTGTGGGTCTACATGCGTAGTTTGGACCTGCGATGACAAAAAGGTTAGCCCTCCCTGCTCTATAAGTGGATTTTATTTTTTCCCACGACGACCCACCCGCCTTCCTGCTGCCACAAAAGATGCACGGTTGTAGTCCACAAGCACAACCGAGCCCAAAACTTGTGTTAAGAAAATGTGCCAAGCGAGTTTCGCTCCATTTCACGACTTTTCTCGCCCCGTTGCTGTTTGGCAAATCACCGCAGCTGGCAAACGAGTCGCCCAGTTGTTAAGCGGATCCGGCTTTGCCACGGTTTCTTGGTTTCGTCGGGAGGTCGCAAGAGGGGATCACGTGACCCCTCCGGGATACTGCCCCCGTCCTAAACGCGAGTCAGTTGTCAGGCATCCCAATGTAAACCGCCAGGGCGGTGGGGACGTAACAACTGTCAGAAGTGTGAAAAACGTTTGTGGCTCATTTTTTTTTCAGTGCCGTTATAACTTTTGATCAGTCACTGAATGAACTGTTGTTAAGTAGAGGACTTCCTGTGTTTGGTTTAAGACAGGGGTCGGCGACCTTAAGCACTCAAAGAGCCACAAACGTCCTAACTGGAAGTTCCGCGTTCAATTCTGGAGCCGACTAGAAGTCCGGCTCCTCCACCATAGAGTCTCCTCCTAGTGCGGCATCCTTTTTCCTCTACCTGTCCTAACTGAAAGCCCTATCAATTGTGGAGCTGGCCGGAAAACCCACCCCTTGCCATAGAGTCTCCTGCCAGCGCGCCCTGCTTCTCCCCAACCCCCCTCCCAAAAAATCAGAAGCTCCTCTCAAAATTGTGGTGCCGACTGGTGACAGGGAGCCGCAGCAGAGGGATGAAAGAGCCACATGCAGCTCCCGAGCTGCAAGTTGCGGTCCCCTGGTTTAAGAAGTGGTAGCCAAGGGCCGGGTTTAGGTCCCTCAACGCACTGAAAGATCTTCCTAGCAATGAATCCAAACTGCTGCACAGCTCTTAATATATAATTCACGAGCAAGGCAGCCGGAGTTGCTTTCATCTGGAAGCGTTTTTCAATTTGTGCGGAATGTTCTCGTGGCTTCCTCTAGATCAGTGATGGCGAATCTTTTTTGGCCGCCGTGCCAAAAGCGGGGTGAGCAAGGGGGGGGAGGTGTTTGCTGTACACTGGCATGCCACACCCATAATGCTATGCACATGCCCCCTGTGTGCATGTGTGCGACCCCCCCCTTGCGTGCATATGTGCGCCCCCCGCTTTTGCAGTGGTTTTTTCACCCTCCCCAGGCTCTAGAGGCTTTCTAGGAGCCTGGGGAGGGCGAAAACCTGCCCCCACCTCGGATGGCCTCCGGAGCTTCCCTGAAGTCTCCGAAGGGCAAAAACCAGACCTACAGGGAACCCGGAAGTTTGGGAATGGTGACTTTTGGTTTGTCCGTAGGCCCGTTTTTCGCCCTCCGGAGACTTCAGTGAAGCGTCCTGAAGGCTACAAAGGTAGAAAATCGCCCCTACGGACAAACCGGAAGTCCCCAATCCCGGGTTCCCCATAGGTCTGTTTTTCAAGGAAGCCTCCGGAGGGCGAAAAACGGGCTCAAAAGAAGGCCGAAGTCAGCTGGCCAGCCCTGACAAATGACTCTGCGTGCCAACTGTGCCACAGGTTCACCATCATGGCTCTCGATCTTCACATGACTTTAGAAATGGGAAAGCAGATTCCGGATCAGGCTAAGCGGTAAATCTTGATTCCAGCACTGTTTTTCTCTTGAAAAGAAGGACCAATGGCGGGGGGTGGGGAGAGATAAGAGCAGTGTTCCAATATTTGAGGGGTTGCCCTAAAGAAGAGAGGGGGGCGGGATCAGCGGATTCTCCAAAGCACCTGAAGGCAGGAGAAGAATAAGGGGTGGAAACTAATCAAGGAGGGAAGCAAGGAGGAATTTCCTGACAATGAGGACAATTAACCAGTGGAACAGCTTGCCACCAGAAGTTGTTGGCGCTCCAACACTGGAGGTTTTCAAGAAAAGATTGGACCACCATTTGTCTGGGGTCTAAAGACTCTTGCCTTGGGCAAGGGGTTGGACTAGAAGACCTCCAAGGTGCCTTCCAGCCCTATGATTCTATGACAGCCTCTCAAATATTGGAAGATATTTGCTATCAGGTTTTCCCCTCCCAAGCTTTCTCTCCGTGAGGCTAAATATTTATAATGTACTGTATTCATTAAATCTGTTGGCTGCCCATCTCGCCACAAGGGTTCTCTAAGGGAAACCTTAGAGTCCTCGACATACGACCCCATCTGAGCCCCAAATTTTGGTTGCCCGAGACCTTTGTTCCGTGAGCTTTGCTTCACTTATATGACCTGTCTTGCCATGGAACGCCTGATTTAGTGACACGGGTGTTAAGTGAATCCGGCTTCCCCATTGACTTTGCTTTTTCAGAAGGTCGCCAAAGTAGATCACAGGATGCCGAGATGCTGGAACCGTCATAAGTAGGAACCAGGGGCCAACTGTCCAAATATGTATCACGTGACCACAGGGATGATGCAACGGACGCTAAGCGTGAGAAACGGGCGTAAGTCCCTTTTCTCAGCACTGCAACTTTGAACCGTCACTGTACAGGGCATCCTCAACTTGCAACAGTTCGCTTAGTGACCAAACTTTAAAACAGCACCCCAAAAAGTGACTCAGGATCGTTTTTCACATTTAACAACCATCGCAGCTTCTCCATGGTCACTTGAAACCCCCCCCCCCCAATTCAGATGCTGGGCAACGGATTCGTATTTATGACGGTCGCAGTGTCCCGTGGTCACGTGATTTCCCCCTTTGGCGACCTCCTGAGAAGCCAAAGCAAAGGGAGAAACCGGTTTCGCTTAACAACCAGGGTACTAATTCGCCAGCGGCAGTGATTCGCTTTAACCGCCGTGGCGAGAAAAGTCGCAAACATGGGGCAGAACTCACGGAAGACGCGTTTCCGCTTAGCCACGGGAATTTTGGGCTCGATTGTGGTCGTAAATCGAGGATTACGTGTAATCTCACTCCCTTTAGACCAGGGTTTCTCAACCTTGACGACTTTTAAGTCTTGTGGACTTTAACTCCCAGGATTCCCCAGCCAGCTGTGCTGGCTGGGGGATTCTGGGAGTTGAAGTCCACAAGACTTAAAAGTCGCCAAGGTTGAGAAACACTGCTTTAGACATTCTTTGTACAAAACCCTTTTATCATCTCTCTTGCTCTTCTCTGCAGTCTGTTTAGGGCCTCGGGAGTCTTTTTATTTTTGTATCCTAAGGCAGCGCTGCAGAATGGGAAGATCGGGGTTGGCCAAAGTCAACACTTGGCTCTATCCCTTATACCAGTTTCCTGGGCAACTCTTAGCTTTTTTAAAAAAATAAAATAAAATAAAATAACAGTTCCGGAAGCCAATCTCCTTCTGGCTCCTTTCCCCGTCCTTGCTTTTGCAAAATATCTCCAAAGCCAAGCTTAAAGCCTAGATAAATAAACCTATTTATTTTAGCAATGGGTTCTCGCTCCAGAATTTGCCCCCTTTCTGCCCATCGAAACCA